ACAAATGCTTAGAGCTCTGTCTAGAAGATGCACTACATGGCTGGCGGCCAGGGAGAAATCCGTAAGTTGACAGACAAAGACGTGACGACAACCCATAGAACTTTTGACTCATTATTGAAGTCTGTCAAATACCACGGTCGACTTACGAAGAGCTTAGAGGATACGCAACTACTTATGCAAATAACGACTTTGACATATGCCAGTGATGCAAATCCACCTGCTTTAATCGTCTCTGAAGCCTGAAGTTCAGTTTCTTCCTTCGCCTGTCTACTTCCACATTTTACCGTCACTGGTGTCATCTCTTTTAATTGACTCCAAATGTTTATTTCATGTGATCTGGAATCCCACAGAACCTCGTTGCAGAACAACAACAAACTCTAGGAACAATGAATCTTGTCGCAGTAGTGAAATTCCATGAAGTGTTTGACCAAAACCTGGGCTCAATCCATGAAGTCTTTGATTGTTGATTTGAGCCGGGTGGGGCAGTGTAGATCTCCGAGCTGGAGTTCTTGAGACGCTAAGAAACAATAACGAAAGATTACTGATGACACGGCTCAAAGTAGTATTCTATCATGACTGCTGACTCCGTAGAACTTCTTGTCTCCCCGGTGGCACCAACATGTGAATAACTCTGAGGTCCGACGGCATGCATCTGGACACAGGGGAGATAGTCTTCTAATAATTGTTGTCCTACGAATATATTGAAAATCCCGACTGAGTCACATGAAAAAGGGAAGACGTTCAGCGAAGAGACTCTTTTCTGCGTAAAAAAATGTTGCAAGGACCCAGTGATGGTGAAAGAGCTGGATGGTTCTGTTATGTACTCGTCGCTGAATTATTGTTATGGACTGGTCGAGAAACTAATAGTCCTGACGCGAGAAGGCGGAAATCAGAAGACCACTAGGTTTGCGATGATACTTCTATTGACCAAACACAAGGAGACGAAAATAAATGGTCTCACACCAAAGTGGTAAGTAAGTAAAGTAAAGTAGTTCACACAAATTGTGAATGCGAATATATATATAAATGTTCCAGACAAAGCGTGGGAAAAATCATTAGACAGTCTTAACATGAATGGCTAATTATAATGGAGTGTCGATCCAAATATACATAGCGAATATAGCAGACATGCCAACAAACATATATGGATATATGTCACCAAGCAACGGACTGTCAACAAACACTCATATTATATATAATATAATATAAGGAGAATACACATTATTAAAGGAGACAAGTCCATACAAGTGAAGTGGTCACAGACTAACCGAGCAAACAGAAAGAGAGACCAACATGCACACACACACATAAATATATATATGTGGATACATATCAGGTTCCCTGCGTTACTCCGTCAAGCTTGCGGTAGCGAAGAGTAAGATTGATTTCTTAAGAGATTGTATAGACCGACATGAGTATCCAAAGATGTATTGGAAGTCACTCAGACACAACCACATCCAAACGAATACCAGGACTCTCAGAAGGCACACACGAAACAACATCGACTCCAATCATGCGTCCTCGATCTAGAGATAAACGTTTACTCAAAAGCTCATGCAGTCGAAGACTTAGATCAACAACTACGCCATTCATTCGAAGAATATGTGCAACAAGTCACTCAGAAAGAATGCAACAAGACTAAAGCAGATCTGCTCAAAAGCCCAAAGTCTACAATTAATACCGAATCTCCGTTCCCGAACAATCCAGAAAAGTACGTATTCAATCTCTCAGACATCACACTGTCTACTACCCAACTAGAGGCACTATCTCTAAGACCGAAATTCTGCGTGAAACCACCAAGTATTGACAAGCTACAATGCCAGATTCAGTTCGAAAGCCCAATAAACCGAACTTATTATCTCACACCCACATCAGATGAAAACCTACTACAACTCAAAGCATTAATCCTCGACTGTTTTCCCAAGTTTATAAATACCAAACCCAACAGGTCTATTTTGACGAAGAGGCACTATAAGGAGCTGAAAGAACGAAGAAATTATGATATTATGTCCTGATAAAGGTGGAGGAGTCGTAATCACGAATCGCAAGAACTATATCAGTAAAATACTGATTACACTATCCGGTAAATGCAAATTCACAAAACCGACCAACGAGAAAGACATGACTGAACAGACCGAACAAAAGCTAATGAACACCCTCCGTAAGCTTAAGACTGAATCTTTCATCAGTAACGAAACGTTAGAATCCCTAAGGCCATCTGGCTCAAATATACCACGATTTTACGGACTCGCGAAAGTACACAAGAAGGATATCCCTCTTCGACCGATCCTCGACATGACCAATTCACCTTATCACCGCACAGCCCAATTGTTAGCAAACCTACTAGAACCAATCAGAAGACAAGTTTCCTGCCACACAGTTCAAGATTCATTCGACTTTATCGATTCAATCAAAAACATCAACGTATCCAACAAGACCATGATTTCATTAGATGTCACATCACTATTCACAAACGTTCCACTGACTGGAACAATATGCTATATATGCGAACTTATTCACTCCAAAGGAATAAACATCGGTATACCCACAGAGCGTCTTAAACAACTCCTACTGAGGTGTATCCTGAATGTCTAATTCTCTTTCAACAACATAATATATCACCAAAAGGATGGTATAGCTATGGGCTCACCACTAGGCCCATTACTTGCAAATTTCTTCATGGCAAAACTCGAAAACACATGCCTGAAGGAAATGATAGATACCTTCGAAATCTATAAGAGATACGTCGACCACACTTCCATTATCGTCATCGATGAAGAAAATCTAGACGACATCTTGAAGTCGTTTAACCGCGATTCAGTTCACGCTGGAGAAAGAGTCCAACTCCAAAATATCCTTTCTTGACGTCAAACTAGCAAGACGAGAACAGGATGGAACACTGAAAAGATCTATCTACAGAAAGTCGACGTGGAACGGACAGCTTACTGACTTTCACAGTTGGGAATCCCTATACACCAAACGAAACCTGATCGGTTCACTCAGCTGCACAGTTCGCAGAATTTGCACCCCGGACACCATAGAAGATGAACTGCACAATCTCAAGAGAATCCTCGTCGCGAATTGTTATCCACATTTTTATTGTTAAATCTATGAATCCTAGACCACAAAAGCCGCCCATGCTTAGCGTCCCCAAAAAACCACTCTACATGAACCTTCAATTCAATGGAGATATATCTGCAGAAACACTAAAAAATCGACTGTCGCGCTCACTTAAGAAGACTGTATTTATCAATTCACCTGCTCGTGTGGAGCCAGGTATGTCGGCCGTACCCAGCGGTCACCTTCCAAACGTATCACTGAACACTTACCAACATAGTTTTACAAAGGGAAAAACGATGACCTCGCAGCTCCATCTGATAGAACCCAGACACCGAGCTACACCCCAAACAAACTTCAAAGTCGTCTACAGAGTAAGAAGTAGTCTTTCTAAAGGTGTACGAATCAGACTTCTTCAAACTGCAGAAGCAGTGGCGCTACGCCCTGAACTCTGCATACAGAAGTTCGTTCAATCATTACACTTGCAATGGACGTAATCTATCTTATTACCCGACAAGTAAATTCTACCTGACCTTTTTTTCTTCTGTCTCTTCATAAGTATTATTTTCTCTTCTCAATTGTAATATTTTACATTTTCAACTTTCTTGTTTTCTACCCCCGCCCGATTAAATTTCTACATCTCATTACCACTGTTACTCACTTGACCAACGCTCAATTTCAGTTCTAATTTAAATGGCATTATTCTCTACCCCACTTCTACTTAGTCTCTACCTGTAATTACCTCTGTTGCTACCCTGACCTAAGTTGAAGCATTTTAGTCAATTATATTACGTCATCTAACTTACTAGCTCAATCTTACTTTAGTTGCTGTCCAATTAACCTTGTTTTTATATTAGATCATTCTTGTATTACCTGATCAATTATCTAAACTCGACAAACCTCATGTACAGACACACACACACACAAATAATTATATATTAATGCGATTGTACAGCTATGCGAATGAATTCGTCTCCTCCGCGAATATCTGTCTCGGTGGCTTGCACATGCACGAGAAATGTCAACATGTGCCTACTGACACTGTTCACCAGTTGCTAGCTCTAGTTCCGAGTGGCTAATAATGACGGATGACCAGTCAATCACGCGGCGACACAGGATGAAGGATAGTTGTGGTAGGTTAGTTAGCATCTGTCGTCACACCACGACTCCTTTAGTAGGGTCAGAAAGACAAGTCGAGTCAGTCACTCGAGACGTTGACTGAAAATCCTAATCAGTAGTAACGTAATCAGACTGCGATCCCACCGTTTTCAGAAAAGAGCTTAGAGCAATGGACGATAAATTGAATGAAGTTGATAGCCATGCACACTTGTGAATTGCATGCTCTTCCTGCTTTGTTTAGTTTCGGTTTAGCTAATATTAACGTCTGTTTATCATGGTATGACCCATTTCTAACATATGTCCGTCTAAGTAATAGTATTAATCATACACACACGACAGCTCATGTACGAAGAGTTTGGAAAATATATAACTACTTCCCCAAGAAAGAAATGTAACCCTTTTCAGTAACTTAAAAAAGCCAACATTATACTATACAAATGCAAATAATGAAAATTCGAAGCATCATATCACTAACTGCTTTCTGTTTTTTTTAAATAGGTGAAATTCTAACGGACAACAAACGCCTATTCAGAGCAAAAAATTATGCACGAATCCCACCCCATCTCGCTGCAGAAGAACAACAAACTCTAGCTACAATGAAACGTGTTGCAGCAGTGAGAACTCGCGAAGAGTTAAATTCTTCCAAGGGTTCAGCGAGAAAGTCCCTACCTCTCGCCATCCGAAGGCGTACACGTAACCTCCAGAAGCGTCTTGCAGCAATTAAAAGTGTAAACCCCAATTTTGAATTTCAGAGTGCAAACAGTTGTTGTTGATGACTTCCCGTAAATAATACATGCTCACAAATCTAATCAACAAGTTATTTTGATGCATACTTGAAATATATTGCTCAGAGTTTACATAGATTATTAGTACATAAAGGCATTTGAAACCGTGTCTATTGAACGCAAAAGAAAAGTAAGAAATACAGAAACAAATTAAGAAAGTATAATGCACAGCCAAGGTTTTGAAATTGTCGCGAACTCTATAGGTTTGTCTAATAGTGAAATATGCAGCGATCAATATGTGTAGCACACACGATAGTACAGAGTTTTCGACCTCCATAGGGAAAAGGAATTGTCGAATTTGAAGACGTAGGTTCCAGCACCAGGATACAGATGGGATCCACAGCAAACTTCACTTTGAGAATTTCGGCGCGAAACAGGTATAATTTCATCCACCAAAATATTAGTCTCCTCAGCATTCATAATTTGAGACACGTCGGATTGGCCATCTGAAACTGTAAATAGAACATTACATCAACTTCATTTAATTGCAGTAATAGAAAGTGGGACGTGAATGTTAACCCTGTGAATGCACACTCAGATAGATCGTGGACTCTAAACAAACTAAATGATGATCAAACTGCAAGAGACCTTCTTTAACACTACACTATTCAACAATCTAAGACGCATCAAGACAACAAATCAACTAAGATATTTGAATCAGATGAATTCGCTCAACACTGTCTGTTGTTACTATTATCTGCACTATTATTTGTAAAAGAGATGGGTGGTTATTTCTGCAGTGCTCCGTGTAATAAACACCCATTTCTCCATCAACACGTGTACCATACGGAATCGGTGTATTCAAACGTCATGAGATATGAATCTCTTGCACTGAATAAAATGTTAGGTTGAGAGAATAATAAAACACATTTATTCTAATAAGTAACCAACCTTAGTGTTGGTCACTTCGCGAACCTGGATTCACGTTCACATCACTGGTGTGTGCTTGGAAGGTGGAATATACGGTCACCACCAACCTTACAATCACATCAGCTAGCTGCGAAAACAAACTCCAAAGGCGCTAATGACGTCGTCTACTGACGGAGGTAATCATGTCTTCTTAGTGCTACTTCCCAAGCTGTCGCGAGAAACCCACCTACCTAGAAATAAATAGTCAGTCGTTGGTTAGCAAGCCACACTGACTGTGAGATAAAACCAATTTGTAACCATCACTCTCGGTATTGTATTGTCAACTGATATTGCTTACATTTGTTGCATACAAGGCAATGACATCGCAGAAAGTCATACAACTATCTTTTGATGTAGAAAATTGTCCACTCAACAGGCTGTTCAATAAGTAGTAAATCATTAGGCATGAAATGTTAATAAACTGAATTCAGTGTCACTACCAGTAAAGTCAATAGTTCAGCGCGTATCTCCCAGTGGTTATAAGCATTACCTACTCACTTAACATGTAGTCCTAGGTTCGTTAGTCAGTCAGTCGGTCGGTCGGTGCAACTGAGACATCAAAATCACCACTAGTATTTTCACGTCCTACTTGGAATGATAGCGAGTTTTCTGAATTCAAACACTTTATTAAGGGAAACAACCTGTCTAAATCGCTTAACAACAGACAGTAATCAGTCTGAGTTCACTCACTCGTTACATTGTAATGAAGAAACTATGTGATAAATCATTTTGAAAAAGATCAAACAGTTGGTTGGTCTGTCTGCTTACCATTTGAGTTGGCTGGTACAGTCTGACGATTCTGCATAATTTCAGGATCAGATATTGGCTCAGCCCATTCGAAAAATAAACCGAATCCTATATCATAATCATCTGTGGCGAATTCCCAAACTATGCTTGTTCCTGCTGGATGAGTCTGAACACGGACCTAGGTAAACGTAGATGAAACGACAGCTGTATTTATTTGACTTGAGAGAAATATTAACGAAATTGACAAAACAGACCAGTAACAACAACTATCCTTGATTCCGTACAACTGCAACATTGTAGGGTGTATAATTAATTGAAGGAGAAACTTACGACGATATATTCGGAGTGTGAAAGTAGCTGTATTTAAACCACGAAAGTCATCAAGATCAAAGGACATACTTGGTTAGTGAGACACTCTGAAGAAGTCTTTTTATGAAGTTTTGCTCATTGCAGGGAGATACGAAGGGTGGCAATCTTGTGTAGAAACATCTGTCTTCGGGTACCTGAAACAGAAAGAGGGTTAGTGTTGCGTGACCGCAGAGCCCAGGGGACGACTGCCTGAGGGCGGACACACACGGCTTGTATGCACTGGTTTCTGGGACTGGTTCCGTATTAGTTAACTTACCGCTGGTTACGGACCACTGTAGGGAAAGTCGAGATGTGAAATTTTCGAGGTCGACCTTTTCTAACCCCCTCCCTCCAGAGTGGAGAGACAGAATTGCTGGCATGCTGGTTATCTGAATGAAACACCTCACTGTTGTTACACCCCTGTTCCCCAGCAGTACGACTTCGCCCTCAGACACCCAGCATAGTGAAAGAAAGATTCTTACACGATTCTGGTAACTGCTTATAGTCTAATCGCTATCCTAACAATCTTCCTGACATGGTAGGACCCGCAGGAACAATAGTTCCAGTCAGTGTAGCTTGTTGGGTCATTGAGATGTGTAAGCCCGACCACCACGTCAAGGTAGCAGCTATCGGTCGCTTTTTGAACAATGCGCAATGGACCTAACCGGGAAAACCACCACAGAGTACGATGTTGTTACACCCAGATGACCTTCCGCATAAAAAGTGATTGAAATCGGAATCACTTATTTTATTTGAAAACAATTTCAGAACATTTCGACTGTAGAAGCGCTCAACAACCTTATAATCTTTTGAGTAGAAGAAATACAAGAGTTTCAGCTTGGTCTTCACTGATTTTGTTCATAACCCACCTTTGATATGTTCTCTAGCTCCTCAGTCACATTATGCATCAGAACGCGAATCTCGCACACTTAGTCTACAACTAAAGTTAAATGTACGTGGGAAAATATCAACGCTTCTCTGTATGAATGAACAATATAGGATACAAAACTATCTTTCTTAGCTCCAGTCACGGTTCTGAAACACTTAAAAGCAGGGACAACCTCAATAATACTAAACCAAATGCGGCTACATTAGTTTAGACGAGTAAACATCAACGTCTCCATATTCGAGTCTAAGAAACTATAATCTTATCCCAAGAGCTTTCATTTACACATAATCGACTGATTAGCTGAATTTCAACCAGAACTGGAAATTCCATGCAGTTCTCATTTCACTTTTGCATTAGGATTATTTGTACAATGCACTGATGGCTATGTAGGAACTCGTAACTCAAGATGTTTATTTTAGGTACAGCCTGTAATTTCAAAAGAGCAGGCGTCATCGTTGGTGTGACTTCAGCTGATATTTCTGGTACTCTGCTTAAGCATAACGACGGCTGCAGTTGCGGTTGCAGTTTGAATTCAGTTCGTTAATAATTTCTCAGCAATGTTCTCTTAAATGTGACTTCATCATTCAACGGTTAAACGTCTGATGTGGAATTTGGAAGCTGATTGAGATATTCTGCTTTTACGAAGTTCCTCGTATGTTGGAACCGTTCTCCACTTCCTCATGGTTGAGACAGTCTTGAAGCAGATTATTTCCAAACACGGATGCTTATATATTTACGTTTATCAGTGATTTTCAAGTAAAAATGTGGACATATCACATGATGCTGTTCACTTTTATGAAATTCAAATTGATAATAAACAGTAGAAGTGGAATGCAAGGGAGGGGGAGGTTGATAGATGCAGTAAAGCCTTTGATGTTGTGATTTTTCTAATAGGTACATAGCATATCCTTTAAATTAAAATCAACTTTCTATTTAAGCTTATAACTTACTGAATAGACTTCTCCACTACTGATTCGAATCACAGACTCTTCATCCTCTGCTAGGCATTGTTTGAATTCTTTAACTTCTCCACGTGTCCACAAGGTAGGAGCATGTACTACTAAGGATGCACCTGAAAAAGGATCAATCTTGGGTTCTTTGTTCTCCAAAGCACTCGAAGAATTGTCTGTTGCTACTTCTTTAAAAAGAGTCAGTAAAAAAGAGTTGGTAACATACCCATACTGTTTGAGCACGACACACTGTTGACATTAACACAAGAGGGTATTGGATTCTGTGTATCAATTGCTGGTTGAACATCGACTTCCGATTTCGATGTACCATTCAAAAGAGGTTGATTCTCAGTATGATTTATCTGGGGGGTTATAAAAGTTACTCGTATGACATATCAAAAATATGCGTACTAACAGTTTTAAAGCTGTACAAAAATCGTATACAGTGCATTGGATCTAACTACTGACCAACAGATTTTATAAACAACTTAACAAGGGACTTATGGTTATTGGCAGCAAAATGCATTAACGGATACAAATAAAGGAAAATTAATAAATTAAGCAATGATGATGGATGGACGGAAAGCGAGGGATATTCAAGCGTGACAATGCTAGAAAAGTCATTGAAAACCGTTTCATCAAGTTATCAGAGAAGAAACATCCTTTGCTATCACTCTAAGAATACCTTACACAAGCCGTCAACTGCTTAAACCTGATGTTAACGAAATGTTACGCTGATCGTCTCATTTCCCTGACTACTTGTATATCATGAAATCCTGGAACCAATCAAATCCCTACAAACCAACACTTGAATACTTGTATATTAACCTGCACTCGAGGAGCTACATACATGGAGAAATCCAGCAATTTCCAGGAACCCCTCCCACCTCCGAAGATCAAGGGAGAGTGTACGCACCATAAATCATCAATTTCACAGTTAAAGCGTGAAGACCAAACAGTTACTCCTCCATTCATCACCACCCTTATTAACTCCAACGGAAACTCTCAACACGCACAAATACAAGAACACACACTATATCCTTTCATACAGTCACCACAACGAAACCACCATACTTTCAACCCATTGTTCGTAACTTCCCTTTTGCAACACATATTAACACAGACGAAACTAAATCAGAAGCTATTTTCAACCACTTGGGCAAACAATCCCATCAAACCAGTAGAAAATCAGCTTTACGTGAGATCTATGTATTTGCTTCCACAAACACACTCAAATTAGTATACGCAGCTTGAAGTATCATGGATAGGCAACCAGATTGTTGAAGAACCTGGTTGGTGGTGTTGAGGAACACGAGCTTTGCAGCACAATAACTTCTCCTAATAGCCGTGTCAAGTCTTCGTTTAACTACATCTTGTACTTCATCTCCTTCAAGTGGCAAACTGTTTGCAGACATGTTCTTGTCAGGCCTAGAAACTCGTATTTTGCGACAGCATATACTACAACAGACGGAGTTACACTTAATACATATGGATGATATTTTTACTGTATGTGAAAATAAATCAGAGGCGAACAATTGATTGGTAAAATCCAACTCATGCCATTCTAATCTTTACCTCACAAAAGAACACCTGGAAAATGAAACCACTAAATTTTTAGCCGTTTCTACGCTGAAAAGGAATGATGACAAAATAGAAAGATCCATACTTACAAGGTCTTCTTGGACGGGACAATATAAACACTTTAAACGCTCTGGAGTATGCAGTATAAAGCTAAACTAGTCCTAACATTGTTCAATAGAGCAGGGGAAATTTGTTTTGACAGTGCGATCGAATATGAAAAAAAGACAGACTCTGAAGGATATTTTATGTAAGAATTACTGTATCAGTTAATATTACTGTATAAAACTGTATGATTTATCAAAATAAAATCTTAATCATAAAGGAGCTACCACTCTACCAAGTTTTATATTTATATCAACATCTCATAAACCATGGACATGATATTAACACTGTCGAGTCACTCGCTATTGTTAGCAGACAAATGAGCAGAAAGATGCTTGCATTTGCTGAGGCTCGTTCAGTTAGTATTCAAAAACCCTGATCTCTGTGTAAAGAAGTTAACAGTGGCCACTGTAAATCTACCACGGTTATTATTTTATTCTATCTCATTGTTATCATTATTGGTATTCTTGATACATTTAAAATCATCCTTTGTCATTACTAGCATTTTAACCCACTTTACTTTTATTATAATTATTATTATTATCACTATTATTCTGTTTGCAAGTTTCAATTACTTTCAATTTGTTTCTTTGATAACTAATTGCTTATTTTAATGATGAAACTAGGCCGTAGTCCATTATCATCTTAACTTTGATCAGCCGTACCCCGTCTCACCTTAATATAAGAAGATAACTTGTGCGGTGCGGTAGAGTATAATTCCATCATACTCAGCCGAAGTTACCAATAGTTCCAAAAAAGATCTTATTCTTTCAGATGCAGTTCCTTGGGGACAACACTAGCGAGATATTAACACAGCGCATTAGATTTGCGGTAAAACGAGCATTCCCTGCTGCCGAATTACGTTGTATCTTTAAGACCACTCCTCTTCTGCGTTCGGGAGTAAAAGACTGATATGTATCCACATATATATATATATATATATATATACCATTTATTGCATTCTCCTGGTGTTTTGGAAAATAAAAGTATCATCGCAAACCTAATGTCTTCTGATTTCCGCCTTCTCGCGTCAGGACTATTAATTTCTCGACCAGACCATAACAATAATTTAGCGACGAGTACATAACAAAGACAAACTGCCTAATTTCGCCTCATCCATGTGTATCTACCAATTTAACTGCTCCTGTGGAGCCAGTTACATAGGCCACACAATTAGGCGTGTTTCTCGTCGAATTTCCGAACATCACCCTGCATGGTTAAGCAAAGGCCAAAACAAGACCTGTTCGTAGCGCTATTCTGGCTCATCTTGTGGATACAGAACATAAGATTGATGTTAACCAGGCTTTTAGAGTTATTTACCGGATACCAACAAATCTCAACTCCGCCTTAAGAGTTCGATTACTAAATATTGCTGAGGCTGTTGGGATCCACATTAAAAAGCCTAATTTGTGCGTCCAAAAGAAGTTAGTTCAGACACTGTCCTTACCTTGGCCATCTAGGTTTGAATGATTCTCAATTTTTGTGGAAATTTCCTAATTTTAGTTGATATTCTATTCGTTATTATATCTTTATTACTATTATAATTTAAGTATTCTTAGTGAACTGTAATCGCATTGATCATACTTTACAAATCGATGTTATTTAAAAAACACTAATATTGTTTTTAACTAACAACCTTGAATATTCTGTGTATATAAACATACATTTATAATTGTACAGCCAGAAGACGAATCTATCGAAAAGAATATTCTTTGCTCGATTATTTTGTGTTTTATAGATGTCTGAATGAATATTTTTGCTATACTGAATTCCATTATGGACAAAATTTGTTGTGATAAAGTCTCACAGTATTATACAGTAATATTTACTGATGACGTTTCCAGCACAATTTACTGCTCAAAATCATATGAAGGTCCCGTCTCACTCTATATATCTGAACATGATCTGAAAAAAACTCATACCTATTGTTTTGCATGACTGATTGAATGTAGTTTTTTTGCGTATTAGTCATATATCTCCCAATGAATTTCTACGCGTATACATATTACTATACTATATGTAGAGTATTCACAGTTAGAGAGTTATATCGAAATCTAATGAATTGATCAACGTTAATGAATGTATTTGACTTTCATTACTTGTTTTACTTCGGTTGGCTTTGTATTGCAAACCAACCAACCTTTTATTACATTTCCATTGACCATAGTTAACTCATTCTATTTGTGAATGTTACTACCTTATTGCTGACATATTTTAATGTTTACTTTTCTGATTTCAGTAGGTGTATTATTTTTTTAAAAAGGTAACTGTCTTACATATTCACTGATACTGTTGACTTATTTTTATTCATTCAATGTTTTTTAATCGATTCCTGATACATAACTACCTGAAGCATCGTATTATTTTACATCAATATTTCTACATACCGTTAAAATTTTAACGCACACACATTAAACATGTGTTGCTGTTTTTTTATTGTGATCTATGCGTCGGTGGTATAGCGGTTAGGACGCTCGCCGACCATCCAAATGGTCCGGGGTTCGACCCCCGGCCGGCGCACTCCTTACCTCACTGAGCCAGAAATAATGCTGGTAAAGAGGAAAGGTTGGGCATGAGGCTAGCAACCCCATCCTGTAAAAATTAAACATTGCTACAGAAACTTCAAGCAACTAGCTGGGAGCCCTATGTTCCACTGGGAACGTGAAGGAAAAATTATTATTATTATTATTATTATTATTATGCCTAAAGACGGAGGTACAACAAACGATATAGTCCCGTTTAATGTGGGGTTATGTGTCAGTAGCAGTAGCTCAGATCCGAATCACCTAGCCCCGGACCTCATTCTCAAATTGAGGAACTCAATCATGAAGAAGTAGTGTGGTGAGAGCTGGTTGCAAGCCATAATTGTGGACAACAATTTATGTCAGTGTTTACGTCCCGAATTAAAGTCACGAGAGAAAAAAACAATAACAAAGCTTAACCTTGAGAAAATCACCAACCAATCAGAGCGGACTTAACGTGTAGAAATATGATTCGCAGATATATGGCTTCATTTTCTGAGAAACGTTCACAAAAGCAATAGCAGAATAACCTTCAGCAAAAAAAACAATCAGTCAAAAGACGTTTCTTCACCTCTGACAATAATGCACATAAAAATCTATAAATATCTCCTGATTTTCTCAAAAAAACAATCTGTTGCATAGCCTTTGTCTGCTTTCGTTACGGTAGTAATTAAAACAAATACAAGATTTAATGGTGTGAAATATTCCCATATCATGAATTAAAAGTCAATCTGAACAAAGAATGTTCTTTTCAATAACATAGGTTACAGTAGTTGTAAACATGAACTGTCAACGGTGGAGAAAAGACCTCTGTTTTTACGTATACAATTCAGGGAACATAATCCTGCGGAGATTCTATCGCAACGTATAAACAGGGGGATAAAGAAAACTTTCTAATCTGCACGTTTGTGTCTATCCTTCAGTAGCCATCCAATGTTCACGCAACAACTCAAAGATGTCTTACCTAACCTTAGCTCTTCCTCGTGTATATACCATTTCAACTGTTCCTGTGGTTCAAGTTATACAGGGCATACGATTGGGCAGGCTCGTCTACGGGTTCGAGGACATTTATCAGCTTGGTTCAGCAATGGGGGAATTAAGTGCATAAAAAGCTCAGTATTGTTACACTTGGTTCGATACTGGACATCGCATCGATG